GGTTACTGTGAAGAGACTTCCCTCTGCTGTCCTTTAATCCATATTGAAGAATATGCCGTATATGAAATATTATGTAAAGGGCAGGATTGATATAACATTTATGAAGTAAAATGAATTAAAGTAGTAAATAAGGAGATGAAATAGAATGGATAATTATAATTATATGCTAGAACAGAGGGTAAAATATGGAAACCAGGGTGGGACGGGGGGGAAATCTGAGGGGTTTGTATAATCCTAGTATTGTATATATGGAAAATGTTTGGAGTGCATGAAATAATGTTAACATAAAAAAACTGGGGAAAAATTCAGGGAAACTCTGGATTAGATGAGCAGAGGCAAACCTGGAGGCCTGAAGGAATAGCCCTAATGTAGAGACAGCTTGGGTTTTCTGCTGATACAAAGCCACCACCTAAATTTCCTGATGGACTCAGGCACTAGAAAAGAGGTAGGCAATGTTCTGCCCTCCAAATACTGTGAACTACAACTCCTAGCAACTCCAACCAGAATGGCCAATGATGGATGGGTGTTGAATTTCAGCACCTGGTGCGCACCTATCCCTGCAGTATCCCTGCTCCTCCACATGCAGCTGCTGGGTGACCTTGGGCCAGTCACACTTCTTTGAAGTCTCTCAGCCCCACTCACCTCACAGAGTGTTTGTTGTGGGGGAGGAAGGGAAAGGAGAATGTTAGCTGCTTTGAGACTCCTTAAAGGGAGTGAAAGGCGGGATATCAAATTAAAACTCTTCTTCTTCTTCTTCTTCTTCTTCTTCTTCTTCTTCTTCTTCTTCTTCCATAACCATTGAGGCCACGTGCTCAGTTTTGACCTAAATTAAGTCCACCATTTTGATTCTCAGAAACCATTAGTAGAAAATTAGTGCTATCTCTACAAAAATTAACAGGCAAAAGCAGTCAATGAATGTACTTCAGTAATATGAATCATAGTCCATTACAGTTAAATGGGTGGTGATGGTCCTAACTGATTCCTAAAAATGCATAGGAAGGTAACATAGAACGCTGCATTGTACTGAATAAAATAATTGATTCATGCAGTATCATACCATATTGTTCATACAATACCATACCCTCTTAACATCCTGGGGTCTGAAATCGGGATGCTCCATTTTTGGTCGCGAGCTCTTGTGCACGCGTGAGGGCAGGAGGCCAAAAAGACACTCATTTTTTTGTCTTATTGGACCATATAATGAGAGGCTTTCGATCCAGCACTCTGGAGCAAGCCAGCTGATTCTCGCCAGACCAAAAAGAGTAGTTCACTGAGACTATGTCGTCTTGCAGCTTAAGCTCTTTAGATGCAGTGTTTGGAAGTGAAAGGCAGACGAACAAGAAGTGATTCAGGTGGAGGTGGGCAGCCAATTCCGCTGTCAACACACTCCAGCCAGACTGGTCTTTGGGATCTGGGCGTAAGCAGACATGCACCATTAAACAGCGCCACGTACAACTTGTCATTTCCTGTTGGGGCCCATTTCTCAAGGAAAACTAGTAAGTGGTTTCCTTCTGCTGCCAGCCTCCTTGATCAGCGCACGCAGAGCCAGATGTCTTTGTTTTTCGCAAGATCTTCCATCTCGGTGATCATATGTGGAGAAAATGACAACACCATATCTACCTGGGAAGATTATCTATTTACTCCTTGCAGAGAAGCGGTGTATTGGCCTACATATCTCTAAATGTCAGCTTGCCCCGGGCAGTTCCATGTAACAGGGAGATACATCTGAGAAGGCTGCGAGAACGCCTCGGTGTGAGTGAAAAATGCTTCCTCTGTGCTTCGAATAACCCCATGCAGCTAAAGTAGTGAGCCTTTTGCAGCTTTCGGTTGGGTCTCACTGACTTACAGAGCCATCTACCTGGTGTTTTGTTTATTTGTGGGCAAAAGGAGAGAGGGAAAGGCAAGAATGTGAGCGTGGAAATGTGCTGGTAAGTGATCTTGCTCTGTGTCCAGATACACATTGCGAACACACATGCCTTCATGAGCAATCACAATGAAGAGCAGGATCTCCGGTGTTGCGGGAAGGAGAATCATAGGTTTTGCCTTCCCTCCTCACCCTAGAAGTGAATGATACCCATTCGCTCAGAGGAGCACAGAGAGAAGAACGCCATGGTGCAGCTACTGCAGCACAACTGCATGCCTTCATCTCTGCCCAGCTGCAACAAAACATGTCTCACCCATATTGGTCTCTACAGCCACAGGAGGCATTGCAACCTTCCAACAGTTTGACTTCACCCCTAAAGGCACACTCCTCCACTATCTCCCAATACATTATCTCCTAATTTATAAACTGCAAACTGCAGGGTTTGAACCTGGGACCTTCTGTGCTTTATCACTGAGCTACAACCTCTCCTAGCATTGGGGTAGGGCTTAAATCTCTTCCCTATCGAGAGCCAGTGTGGTGTAGTGGTTAAGAGCGGTAGTCTCGTAATCTGGGGAACCGGGTTCGCGTCTCCGCTCCTCCACATGCAGCTGCTGGGTGACCTTGGGTCAGTCACACTTCTCTGAAGTCTCTCAGCCTCACTCACCTCACAGAGTGTTTGTTGTGGGGGAGGAAGGGAAAGGAGAATGTTAGCCGCTTTGAGACTCCTTAAAGGGAGTGAAAGGTGGGATATCAAATCCAAACTCTTCTTCTTCTTTTTCTTCTATTTTGTCAGGTGATCACAGTCAGTATTAAGGATCAACCCCTATCGTGGCTTCTGTTTCTTGGTCACTCTCGAGCGTGACAGAATGTTGGGAATTGTCTCTTACATAGATTGATATGCACATTAGTTTTGAGAGTTAGCAAGCATCCTTTGAATTAGTTATTGCTGGCCTGCTTTGCATCTGGAACTGCTGGTTTTTGGTCTCTGGAACAAAAGGAGATTGAACTGCTGACCTTGGTGGAAGAAGAAAGCAGGTCCTCAGTTCAGCTCAGCTCAGTTTTTTGGGTTATTTTAAAAATATATATCTGTGTACTGAGTGAGATCTGAAAAAGATGGTACATTTCTTTCAGTAGAGAGGGGAGGAGAGAAAGAGCTGTAGAATATCAAACAGCTGGTGGTGGAGAGAAAAGTAGGCCAGAATCTTGTGAACATTAGTGAGTCATTCCATCAGGCTATCTTCTTGCCCAGCATGCTCACCGAGTGCCAAAAGCAAGAAGACTCGCGTCACTTTCTTTCATTATGATGACCTTACAGGGAAAAAAAGAAAGATCTTGACATCTGAATGGCCCATCAGGAAGGAACAAGCACCAGCTTTCTCTGCAATATGGCAAAAGGCTGACCTGTATTTGAGGTGTGGGAAGATAGGACAGAGCAAAGATCTGAAGGAGGAACGAGATGGTTGGCCGTGCCTGTGGTTCTGTGACTCCAGCGAGATAGCTTCAGTAAGAAGCTCTAGTTCTGCTGCAAAAGGACAGCATATCTCATGGAAGAAAGCTGTGACCTGCTTGTGTGCTGAGACAGTCTAATGCAACTTAACTTTTGTCACGTGATCCCAGTCTAATGCAACTTAGCTGTCCACAAAGCAAGAGTAGCCAATCTGTTGCCCTCTAGATATTGTGGACTACAACTTCCATCGGTCGCAACCAACATGACCAGTAATCTGGAATTAAGGGAGTTGTAGTCAGGCAACATGTAGAGGGCACCATGTCACCTATCCCTACTCTAAAGTATCTTCATGTGTCAGCAGCTCTTTCTGAATTAGGAAGGATCCTTGCTTCCTAGTTGGCCAACCTGCAGCTTAGGTAGCAAGAGTTGGCGGCAAATGGGGATTGGAATGGTTGTGAACCTTGTTCTGACAGCATCAAGCTTCCATTCCTCTCTGTATTTTGAGCCACACAGGTGCTCACCTCTCAGCTCAGTAGGCTGAAGGGCTCACTCACAGAGGTACAGTGGTACCTCTGGTTGCGAACGGGATCCGTTCCAGAGTCCCGTTCGCAACGTGAGCAGAATGCAACTCGTGTCTGTGCCTGCGCGTGCGTGGGCCGCGATTCATCATGTCTGCGCATGCGCGTGATGTCACTTTGCACGTCTGCACATGTGCGAGCGGTGAAACCCAGAAGTAATTCTTTCCGGTACTTCCGGGTCACCGCAGGACGCAACCTGGAAAAACGTATCATGAAGCAAACGCAACACGAGGTATGACTGTACTAACTTATATTTTGGAAGTTGGCCAATCAAAAAAAAAAAAGGGCCACCGCTGCATTAGTATGAAGGTGATTGTGCTAATGGACCTGAATTAAACAAAGTGGTGTCTTTGATATTATTTGCTTTGCTTTCCAGCCATTTGTATGTTTTGTTTTTTCGTGATTCCATCACTGAACCCTGAGATATGAAATTTGGTAGGTCCATTCAGAACACAATTCTTCACCTGTAGGTCTGCTCTGATCAATCACAGCAGTTTCCAGATGGGGTTGGATGACAGGGTCAGGGAAGGAACAGAAAGAAGCTGTGATTGCATTCTTCCTTACCATGTCAGGATACTCAAAGGCATGTAAATGCCCCCTTACTTTGCATTTGGCAACTTTGGCTGGTGGCCAGCACCTAATCTTGCACATACTTTTTCCATACAATTAAATAAATAGCATAGTCAAAAATCTCCAAACAAAAACCTAAATTCAGATGGTAGGAAACACATTCACTTCTCTTACCCTGCACTTGGGTTGCTACAAAGCTGGCTGGATGTGAAGAGCTAAGTGCTGGAATTTATCCCAGTCCCACACTGCTGAGGATGTCCACGTGGACAGTCCTACCCTTTCAAAATATTTTTATTGAATTTTATAATGACAGGCAGGTTGCGGAGGGGGGAGGGAAACAAAAGAAAAATTAGTTCTTTAAACAATGATAAGTTGTCATAATTGCCAATAAGGAAATATAGGATACAGCTATGTGATTTACTGAATCAATAATATTGCATACCGAGAGGGGAAAAGATGTGTTGTCTCTATTTGCATAGGGCCCATGGTCTGAATAAAAACAATTGCACTCTATTTATTTCAGAAAAGAAGATAGAATGTCACCTTGTGGACATAGCTTAGTTGGTTAGAGAATAGTGCTGACAACGCCAAGGTTGCTGGTTCGATTCCCATATGGGACAGCTGCATATTCCTTCATTGCAGGGAGTTGGACTAGATCAGCCTTTCTCAACCTTGGTGGGTCCCCAGATGTTGTTGGACTACAACTCCCATCACCCCTAGCTAGCAAGGCCAGAGCTCAGGGATGATGGAAGCTGTAGACCAACAACATCTGGGGACCCACAGGTTGAGAACCGCTGGACTAGATGATTCTCAGGGTCCCTTCCAATCTACAGCTCTATTATTCCAAATACTAATCCAAGCACTCACATAGACCTGTGGTACCTGCTGTTCCTGAGCTGCTATGTTTGTATATGAAATAAAATTTGACCAAATGGCAAAGAAGCAATTTTGAGCACTTTGACCCCGTCACACTTATCTTATGTGATTTTTTCTTCTTCAAGAAGGGCAATTTGTCAAGTCTGGGAACACCAGTGATCCAGATTATTGACATCAAAAGTCTTCCAAAAGTTGATAGTTGTGGCCTGGGCCATCATCAGAAGATATGAGATCAGGTCCTTGTTATTCAGGTCTCGATGCGAATCAACAAACAAATCCGAAAGGGCCCAACAATCCTACTAATGCAAACAGCATGGAAACATAATTCAGATATATATAAAGGCACCGAGCAGAAAAGACATTTAATCATTATGCTGCTGGCATTTTATGAGGCGTTATCAATTAACCGCTGAAATTTAACAAGCGCTTTAGGTCAGAATCATATCCTTTTGGAATAAAAAATATATCTTCACGCCGAGTTTTCCAAGAAAGGCTGCAGACATAATTGGTTACAGGACATGTAACAATCTAATTGCAAGTCTTGTCTCTGCTGCCACGGTAGAATCAGAAGGGGCTTATCATTTAGAAATCCTTTACAGAGCATCATTTTCTTCTCCTCCAGAGCTGTTAAAATTATGTGTTCTCTCTCTCTCTCTCTCTTTCTCTCTCTGTGTGTATGTATGTGTGTTTGGCTCCATTACACCAAGCTTTGCTCAGTTGTGTCATGAGACTTCTTGTCGTAAATATCAATCTCTCTAACTGCACCAGGCCAGCTTTTAAGACAAGACTCTTTTTTTTTTAAGCTTTAAGAATTGATATCCTTACTAAGGCTTCAAGAAGTTTAACATGTGGTGATGGTATCAAGGGAAGCTTCCAAAAATATGATTCCTGTTAAATATTCTGGAAACTTCCTCCAAGGTCATCGCCACAGGTTGGCTCAGTGGTGAAGAACCTCTGGGTTAATTAGGTCCACCAGACCTCCACATTTGGCCCACATTTAAGCCAAGCCACACCTCCCTGCTCGACACATGACCTCAGGTGTGGGGCAGGTTAAAAAAAAACCTGGCTCGACTAATTGTTGGCTCTTCAGAAGCCCCCTTCAAAGCACTGTGTAAAATAGCACCTTGAGAGGGGCTTCTGAAGACATCTTTCCAAAGGCTTGTCAAGACTACCTATTTCCCTCATCCTGCATATATCGCCCTATCAAATATTGGCTCATTATTTGAAGTTCCGTGGCTCTTCTTTGATATGTTCTAAAAAGGGGTCCCTGAAGCTGCAGGCTGTTGTGGAAGGCTGGCGTGGGGACAGACGGGTACAGACAGCTCTTCAGAAGCTTTCGCCGATGCATTGTTTTTCTACTGAAAATTGCCCTCCGCCTCGCTTGCTGTGGAAATGCTATAGGCGCTTGTATATTTTCCCTAAGGTAAAGGTACCCCTGACCGTTAAGTCCAGTCGCGGGTGACTCTGGGGTTGTGGCGCTAATCTCGCTTTACTGGCCGAGGGAGCCGGCGTACAGCTTCCGGGTCATGTAGCCAGCATGAGTAAGCCGCTTCTGGTGAACCAGAGCAGCGCACGGAAACGCCGTTTACCTTCCCGTCGGAGCGGTACCTATTTATCTACTTGCACTTTGGCATGCTTTCAAACTGCTAGATGGGCAGGAGGTGGGACCGAACAACGGGAGCTCACCCTGTTGAGGGGATTCGAACCGCCGGCCTACTGATCAGCAAGCCCTAGGCTCAGTGGTTTAGACCACAGTGCCACCCGCGTCCCATATTTTCCCTAGTAGAGGAAAAAACAGGGATGAGCAAAGTCATCCCTGTATATATACACCAGCTGCCTAATACTGTAGTTTGTTGGGCGAAGTATTCTATTATTATTATTATTCCCTTCATCACAAGATCTTAGGGCAGTTAAAATAGAAACAATAATCACCCTCACACAAACACAGTTAAAAGGCCGTTGAATGTTAATCAGCCAAACCACCAGGTTGAAGAGGAATGTTGAAGGCGTCAGGCAAACCTCCCTGGGGAGAGCATTACACAAAATTAAGTTGGCATGGGTCCTCGCTTATAGATTTTCTGAACTGCAGGCCTCAGTGAGGGCCCGTTCAAGTGGTTTGATGCAAGGATACCAAAAAGATGTCAAAAAACGCCAGAATGGCCAGTTCTAGTGATTTATTAAAGAAAGGTGTACATTTACAATGCAGGGAGCAGAGCCTCACTGCCTTTACAGACACAGGATGGGTACCGTGGCAGTGAGTCATTGTGACTTGACCACACCCAAGCAAAAGCATATACAGTGGTACTTCGGGTTACAGACGCTTCAGGTTACAGACGCTTCAGGTTACAGACTCTGCTAACCCAGAAATAGTACCTCAGGTTAAGAACTTTGCTTCAGGATGAGAACAGAAATCGTGCTCTGGTGGTGGGGCGGCAGCAGGAGGCCCCATTAGCTAAAGTGGTACCTCAGGTTAAGAACAGTTTCAGGTTAAGAATGGACCTCCGGAACGAATTAAGTTTGTAACGTGAGGTACCACTGTACATCCTTTATGCACAACGCAGCATGCATCAGCTTACCCACAGCCTCCCAGCACACCTAGGAGGGAAACCAACCAAAGCTTCTTCCCTCTCTGGGGCTAGAGCCCAACATCCCAAGGCCCAGAGATAAGCAAAGCATCAAATCAAGCCAATTAGCATACATCAAAGCAAGTGAAAATATAATTTATGAGCTCATTCTTGCCACAACTGCCAATTAGTTTTTGAGGTCATATTGACTACCAAGATGGCATTGGCAGGCCTTCTGGAACATTCCGCCTTTGGTTCGTCACAATAGAACATCCTCACTGGAGTGTGTGTCTCCCTAACAGTGACTGTAATGTCACTAAGTGAAAGCATTTCTATCTAGCCGAACATTTAACTTGCAATAACAATTGTACGTGGGTTTTATCTGCTTGGCCTAAACCAGGGATTGCCAGTCTGTGACCTTCCAGACATGATGAAATTTGGCCTTTTATCTATTTATTTTATTTATTAAATTTATATAATGCCCTTTGTCTTAAGATCACGGGGCAGTTTGCAGCATAAAAATACAAAGTGAGAATACAAAATACATACCAACCAACCAACCAACCAACCAACCAAACAAACAAACCAATAACCTTGCCTTTCACAAGCACATTGAAAAGGCCATAGATTGTTTAATCAGCCATAGGCTTGGTTATAGAGGAACGTTTTCTCCTGGCGCCTAAATATATGTAACGAAGGTGCCAGGCGAGCCTCCCTAGGGAAAGCTTTCCACAGGCGGGGAGCCACTGCAGAAAAGGTCCTTCTTCATGATGCCACGCTCTGGACCTCTCGTAGAGGAGGCACGTGAAGAAGGGCCTCAGATGATTATTGCAGGGTCCAGGAAGGTTTATATGGGGAGAGGCAGTAAGCTAGTTTCTACACACACTCATACTCTTCCATCTAGACAAGCTAGAGATGTTATTAGAGCTCAAGGGCACATCCCAGCCAGAAAAAAACAACACTCAATGGGGGTGTGAAGCAAGGATTGTGAGTGGCCTTGGGTGAGGTGGTGTGGCTGGAGAAGGGATCTGGCATGAGTTTCTGCCGCAAAAAAGCACAAACAAATAAGGAAGTGGGAAAACTCAGTACAGTGGTACCTCAGGTTAAGTACTTAATTTGTTCCGGAGGTCCATTCTTAACCTGAAACTGTTCTTAACCTGAAGCTCCACTTTAGCTAATGGGGCCTCCTGCTGCTGCCATGCTGCCGCAGCACGATTTCTGTCCTCATCCTGAAGCAAAGTTCTTAACCTGAAGCACTATTTCTGGGTTAGCGGAATCTGTAACCTGAAGCATCTGTAACCTGAAGCGTCTGTAACCTGAGGTACCACTGTATCTGAATCTGTGGTATGTATAGAGAGGCTTGAGCATAATTCTTTATGTTTGGATAAGTGAATTCTTGTATAGTGAACAGGCGGGTAGTGGGAGCTGTGTGTATATGGAATTTAGTAGCTGTAAAGTGCAGTTGCAGTTAATGTCACTAATTGATGCTAATGATAACAGTCACATAAGATGTACCAAACCAATCCCAGGGTTTCTGCCTGCTCCTTCCTGAGCAGCACCCGCAACAGAACATCACACATTCCTCTGTGACAAGTCACCAAGGTAGGAACTGATTATTTTATACTTTGCAAGAACTGTGCATGTTGATAGCGCTATGGAAACCAGGGGTGACTAACAGTTTTTGGCTCAAGGGCCATGTCCACCCTTGGCCAACCCTCCAGGGGTCACAGGTCAGGAATGGGCATGGCCAAAAGGGGGCGTGGCCAGTTTCATTGTAATACACACACATCGGATGTACATGCACAATTGCAGAGGCACACACAGGCCCTCTCCTCAGCTGAGCTGTGCAGATCTGGCACTCAGGGCCGAGAGGAACCAAATCCATACACGGGCAAACTATAGACGTTTGTGGTACTGGCTGCATTAGTTGGAGACAAAGAGCCGCAGTGGATCTTGCCTGCAGTTCTGACAACAACTCAGAGCTGTCTATACTTAGCTCATCTCAGACACACACCACATTATTCAGCTTGCTTCGGAAAAATAATTTTGTTAAATTATGTAGCTAATAAACAAGAGAAGCCCATTTGCAGAATGATAAACAGAATTCTCTCTTCCTTAAAAAGTGAGTAATCCCCCCCCTAGAAAATAATCATTGCACACCAGAAACTCTAAATTTGATTAATAGTGTCTATTATATATTGATGGGGGGAATAATTACATATTAGTCCTGCATTCTGATTACCTGCGGAAGGTTCCACTTGTAATATAATTAAGAGCAGCTCCTCTGGAGTTGTGGGCGGCTGGCTGTGTGTATACACATTCCCCCTGCTGATGGAAAGTCGAGGCATTAATGAAGAAGGCCACGTTTTAATTCCTGCGCTTCTAGTGCAAGGGAATTATTGTGATTGCCCTACTTATTTATTTTATTAATGTAGCAGTGCCTTGAGTTCCTGGATAGACAGGAAATAGCTTTGGCTTGCAGATCTTCATTGGACATGGAGAGTGGCTTCTCCAGAAGCCATTTGCAAGACAAAGGCGAATCACTGAGTTACTCCATAAGGAAAAAAATCCACAAGCGGCCAATGCCTTTATTGGGACTAGGTTTGGGGGAGAAATTGAGTTTGGATAGCACTTTAAGGCAAATAGACCAGATTTGTACTTTGGTGAACCAAAACCCAGCTAGCCTTAAAAATCCACAGTTCTCTGAATTTTGGGATTAAGGGAGCAATCCTGTGTACAGGAAGCTGGCATAAAGTGTTGTTGTTTAGTTGTTTAGCCGTGTCCAACTCTTCGTGACCCCATGGACCAGAGCACGCCAGGCACTCCTGTCTTCCACTGCCTCCCGCAGTTTGGTCAAACTCATGCTGGTAGCTTCCAGAACACTGTCCAACCATCTCGTCCTCTGCCGTCCCCTTCTCCTTGTGCCCTCCATCTTTCCCAACATCAGAGTCTTTTCCAGGGAGTCTTCTCTTCTCATGAGGTGGCCAAAGTATGTAGCCTCAGCTTCACGATCTGTCCTTCCAGTGAGCGTAAAGTAAGTCGGTGTAAATTAAGCCAATGTAAAGTTACATCAGATCTGATCCCCGTTCAGCAGTGGGACTGCTTCTGCTTTTCCTAAACCTGGCAGAAGGAAAACAAGCCTTTAAAAGAGTCTCTAAGCTAGATTTCCAGGTCATATGACTTAGGTGCCCGTGGGGGTTGCCCGCCTAAAATGGTAGCAGCCTTGAGTTAAGGGGAAGCCTTTCAATGAAGGTTTATACAGGCTGTGTATCCACTTTTTATTCACTCTTTAAAACACACAAACACATTTTTAGCCTTTGTGGTTCCATAGCCAGCTTGAAAATGCATTAGCGAAGTGTATGAGAATTGCCTTACTAGGTCAGACCAAGGTCAACATAGTCTAAGCATTCTGTTTCCAATTTAAAATATCGTCTAAGGGTCAAACTGAATGAGGCAAAAGAACGTAAGCAGCGGCTTGCTGGATGAAATCCGTGGGCCATCTAAATAATAGACTATAGACAAAATACAAACAGGCAAATCTTGGGTCCGGACGGCATTTTACCCCAGACCTCTCAAACAACTCAGATGTGACATTGCTGATCTTGTAACAAAAATATATAACTTGTCCCTCAGATCAGCCTCTATACCTGAGGACTGGGAAGTAGCTATGTATCACCCATTTTTAAAAAGGGATCTGGGGGGTCCTGGATAGTACAGGCAGCTTAACGTCTGTCCTGGGAAAATTGGTGTGAAGTATTGTTCAATGACAAACCTAGACAGCATCTTAAAAAGCAGAGACATCACCTTGCCAGCAAAGGTCCGTATAGTTAAAGCTATGGATTTCCCAGGAGTGATGTATGGAAGTGAGAGCTGGAGCATAAAGAAGGCTGATCGCCAAAGAATGGATGCTTTTGAATTATGGTGCTGGAGGAGACTCTTGAGAGTCCCATGGACTGCAAGAAGATCAAACTGATCCATTCTGAAGGAAATCAGCCCTGAGTGCTCACTGGAAGGACAGATCCTGAAGCTGAGGCTCCAATACTTTGGCCACCTCATGAGAAGAGAAGACTCCCTGGAAAAGACCCTGATGCTGGGAAAGATGGAGGGCACAAGGAGAAGGGGACGACAGAGGACGAGATGGTTGGACAGTGTTCTGGAAGCTACCAGCATGAGTTTGACCAAACTGAGGGAGGCAGTGGAAGACAGGAGTGCCTGGCCTGCTCTGGTCCATGGGGTCACGAAGAGTTGGACACGACTAAATGTCTAAACAACAACAATAGCAACAACATTGTTCAAGATGAAATAGCCATGCATATAGAAGAACAAGCCCTACTGAAGCCGAGTCAGCATGGCTTCTGAAAGGGCAAGTCTTGTCTCACAAACCTATTAGCGTTCTTTGAGAGTGACACCAAGTATATAGATAGAGCTTGACAGAGTTCCCTTGAACTTTCAAAAAGCTTTCAACAAACTACCTCACCAAAGACTCCTGAGTAAGCTTAGCAGTCAAGGAATAAGAGGAGAGGTCCTCTTGTGGATCAGGAACTGGGTAAGTTGCAGAAAGCAAAACATAGGAATAAATGGGCAGTTCTCTGAATGGAGAGATATCATAGAGTTGGAAGGGACCCTGAGGATCATAGAGTCCAACCCTCTGCAATGCAAGAATATGCTGCTGTCCCTTACGGGGATCAGACCTGCAACTCTGGAATTATCAACACCAAGCTCAGACCAACTGAACTATCCATTTAATGTGGAAAGTGAAGTCCCCGTAAATCAATACCGGGACCTTTTTAACTTGTTCATAAACTGGTTAGGAGTGAACAGTGAAGTGGCCAAGTTTGATGATGGTTCAGGGTTGTTAAAACAAACATAGATTGCGAAGCGCTCCCAAAGGACCTCTGCAAAGCGAGTTGATAGATGGTTAAATGACAAATGCGATTCAGCATCAACAAGTGCACCGTGATGCATGCCAGGACCAAAAGACCTTAATTTCACATATATGCTCGTGGAGTCTGACTCGGCGGCGACTGACCAGGAACGAGATCTTGGTGGTCTGCATCACAGCAGTTAAAACGGTAGCTGCTGGTTGCCAAGTCAGGCAGAGTTGTCTAATTAATTTTGCCTCAATTTCCAGAAAGGAAATGATATTGCAGAAGGAGACAGCTACAGGGCAGGATCCAGTAATGAGGGTCAAGATGCAACGAGCCCCTTGAGCAGTAAAAGCCCTTCTAGAGGCATACAAAGACCAGAGTAAAACACATCAGCAACAGCAGCTCAAAATACCCAGGTTAAAAAGCCGGTATTTAAGAGGAATACGTCTGCTACTGCACCACACTCTGGCACTGTCAAGTGCGTGAGTGTGTGGGATTTGAGGAGCTGCCATCTCTGAAGGACAGTGGCAAGTGACAAACTTCATCCAGGGGAAAGGAGATCAAGACAGGACATGTTATAAATACAGTGGTACCTTGGTTCTCAAACGCTTTGGTTCTCAAACTCCAAAAACTTGGAAGTGTGTCGGTGCTAAACTTCATTTCATTTGTCTTTGCTTGCAATTATTGTAGGCATTTTGTTTCTTATAATATAATATTGATCGTAACGATAAGGGTTTGTAACCAATGTGAGTCCTGCTCGGAGTAGACCCATTGAAATGACTAGACATAACTAACTTGTGTCCATTAATTTTAGTCTACTCTTGAGCAGAACTTGCATGCATTCAACTCATTGTTAGCTATACAAATCTACGTTTGATTATAAATTTATCTTTTTTTTAAAAAAGCAGATGGTTATTAAGATTCTTGGAGTGAATAAGAACATGGAAGAGCAGAGAGAGAGTGAAGACAGGAAGCAAACCGGTGCAAGAATCTCTTTAGCATCCTTTAGCAAAGCTGCATGCCAAAGGTTATGACAGCTTCTTGGTGTAGAGATTTTATGGGAAGTCTGTTGGTGGGTACCTGTTTCTGCCATTTCAAAGACCAGAGTGGATGAAGAATAATTTCGAGGGACTGTATGGGAGGAAAGGCTTTAATCCACTACTAATTAAGGCAAAAGAGAAAATAAGGGTAGCTACCATGAAAGAGGGCCAGCTGCGATGTACCACATAGTATGTAAGGAATCCAACTAGACTTTTGACTTCTTTTTATTTGAGATCTGGCCAAGCACTGAGAGAACAGATTGGAATGCCAAATGATGGGAATATGAGTTCTAATTGTTTGTGCAAATGTCAGTTTTCAAGATTCCTGTTTTTTAAAGAAGATGCGCAGGTAATTGGCAAGCCCATGTTTCATTGCTATGTTTCACTGACAGGTAAGATGTGATTGCTTTCAGCAGCATTTATTTGCCTCCTCCTCTCCTTTTTATCTTTTTTTAAAAAAAGCATCCTTGTGAAAATGTTAGGTCAACCGCCGGCCATCAGAGTGTGCTTCAGGAGACGAACGCATGCTGCGATGTCTTGTTATGAAATGTTTATGTTCAGAGCAAATGGATACGGTTTATTATTCCTCGTCTTCTGTGAATGATCTTTGGAGTGGGTGGTAGCAAATATTCTTTAAACAGAATGGGCTTGCTTGTTTTAATGGTGCAATAGCTGCCCTGGGGCTAAGCTATATTTCTGGAAAAGTCAATATAGCACCTGCCAGATCTTGCTGGACTGCAGCATCCATCACCCCTAACCATTGGCCATGCTGATCAGATGATGGGCCACAACAATAGCATCTGATGAGTACCATATTGGCAACCTCTCCTATATCTGATGGTGGCAGAGCTGTGCTTCTAAATATGGATAAATCTGCAGTGCAGAATTGTATGTGAGAGGGTGAAGTTTAAAAGGGAGTTGTATTGCAGGAAAGAATGCTGAATATGGCCCTCATTTATTTCCCAACCACCCCGCTGTATCCCTGAGTTAATCCCCAGAAGCGAGCACATCTGGAAGAAAAACAGCTGTTGGGAAGGGCTGAAGAGGTGTGGGATGGGCTCATATCCATCTGTCCATGGTTTAAATTGCTGGGTTGGCATTGATAATAATTTTTCACTGCTTCTTATTATCAATTATATAGTATTTTGTATTGCATATCATTATGGATTATATTTACCGTACTTTTCCGTCTATAAGACGCCCCCATGTATAAGACACCTCCTATTTCTGGGGACTCAAATTTAAGAAAATGGAGGGAAATTGCCCAGAGTTGTTGAGCTTTTTTTGGGGAGAATTGCAGAAAATCGCTCACCAGAATGACCAGTGCAGACAACAGCACATGTCGTGGAAGCAGCCTCTCACCTGTGTGCTCGCTGCCAGCAGTCCTGAATCACTCGCTTGATTGCCGCAGGGGCAGCCAATCAGCAGCAGCCCTTGCCGCAGCCACCAATCAACTGTCAAAACGCCCCTGACAATCTCCAGCTCCCAGCTGCAATCAGTTGCACGTCACAGCACTCCACTACCCATGTATAAGACGAACCCCAATTTTTGACATTGTTTTTGGGTCAAAAAACCTCGTGTTATACACAGAAAAATACAGTATATAGCCGTTTTAATTTTTTGCATGTTATCATTATATTAGGAGGGACACGGGTGGCGCTGTGGCCTAAACCACAAAGCCTAGGGCTTGCCGATCAGAAGGTCGCTGGTTCAAATCCCTGCAATGGGGTGAGCTCCCGTTGCTCAGTCCCAGTCCTGCCAACCTAGCAGTTCGAAAGCATGTCAAAGTGCAAGTAGATCAATAGGTACCACTCCAGCGGGAAGGTAAATGGCATTTTCGTGTGCTGCTCTGGTTCGCCAGAAGCAGCTTAGTCATGCTGGCCACATGACCCGGAAGCTGTACGCTGGCTCCCTTGGCCAGTAAAGCGAGAGTCGTCCGCAACAGGACCTAACGGTCAGGGGTCCCTTTACCCTTTACCTTTTATCACTATATTAGGGGAAATGGGAATGCCTGAAGATGGCTTCTAAGGATGTTTATCCAAACATATGACTGGGAAACCTGCGTTGTCAGGGGTCCTGGTTGTCAACTTCAGACGAACACTTTTGGGATCTCCTCTTCAGACTTTTCCGTTCAACACAGGAAGGTCAAAAGTGGAATAGGTTCAACCAGGGTACATAGATGCTAGGAGCAGAGCCAGCAAGTACCCCCTCTGGAACTCCTGCACACTTTATGCCTTCACATTTTGTTTTGAATAGATGAAGAGGGCTTATATTTGTTGCTGCTGGGATGTTAATTGCTCAGAACTGGAAACCAGCCAAAAATCCCAGAATTTACTGAAAGGCTTTATAATATCTGGGAGATTGACTTTTTGTGCAAACAAATGCTGGACAGGGAAATAGAAGTCTCTTCAGAACTTTGCAAATGGCTGGTCTTTATTTATTCAGTGCTGGAATGCAAAGTTTCCTCAAATCAAGGTAAATACCCATGTCTTACCCAAGTGGATTTTTCTTTTTTTACTTTGACTTATTTTATAATTGAGGTCTTGATTGATACCTCCTCCTGATAGATATATCTATTTTCAAAGACATGTTAGTCCATTTTATGGCAATAATTTATCTTATTCTTTATTTGTTTTGTTCTCTGTTGATTCTAGATCAGCAATGGGCACCACCCATTGTTGCATTCCAACTCTCATCAGCCCCATTCAATGGTCAGGGATGATGGGAGTTGTAGTCCAAAAATATCTGGAGGGCCATTGGTTCCCCTGCCCTTGGTGAGGGTGGTTGTTAGTGTTGTGCACAACTGTGGTTTTATAATTGTTGGGAGCCGGCCAGAGTAGCTGGGGCAATCCAATCAGAAGGGTGATGTTGTTGTTGTTGTTCCAGGGCATTTTGTGTGTAAGCGAAAGAGGGATGGGTGAATCTCCCATTCCAGCTTCTCTTAGCTTCTCATTTCCCAATTTTAACTTGACTTCTCCACATTTCCAGTCTTTGCAAAAATTCACCAGCATTTTAGTGCAAATTTCTCCTAGATCACAGATTTTACCCTGCTACATTCATTTTTGTACACAATCCATGACTGCAGAGCTGCACTAGAAAATTCAGGGAAGAGCAAATTTCAAAAGATGGCTGTATGTCAGTTCTCACATTGCTCTGGAACTTTGCTGAATTTCTCCTCCAGCCTTGGCATGAAATGTTAGCCACCACAGAAGAAAATGCTACAGGCAGAGAAAAAATAAGCTTTATATTTTGGTCAGGAAGGCAGGGAATATGAGTTGAGGGGAAAAATATCGGAAAATTTCTCCGAAATTTTTTTTGGCCCAGCTACAGATTGCACTGGAAGGACAGATCATGAAGCTGAGGCTCCAATACTTTGGCCGCCTCATGAGAAGAGAAGACTCCCTGGAAAAGACCCTGATGGGGAAGATTGAGGGCACAAGGAGAAAGGGACGGCAGAGGACGAGATGGTTGGACAGTGTTCTCGAAGCTACCAGCATGAGTTTGACCAAACTGCGGGAGGCAGTGGAAGACTGGAGTGCCTGGCATGCTCTGGTCCATGGGGTCACAAAGAGTCGGACACGACTAAACGACTAAACAACAACAACAACAGATTGCTCACCATTCTTTCTGTATTGTTTTCCTTTCATTAATTAATATGCTGAGTTAAAAACCGAGAAGCACCCCACATGCGGAGAGTTCTTTATACTTTCTATCTTCAAGGAAACCTTTCCATATCAACTGATCGCTGCCAGCTTGGAGCTCTGCCACACATGCTGTGGAACCCCTGGGAACCGGGGAAGAAATCCGGAGCCTGTTCTAGGATGCACAGTCATTTCATGCAGAGTGTGGGCCAAGCCTAAGTATTGCCCCAGAAGAATGGAGAGTGCATTCTGGAATGTGTCCAAAACTCCCCTGGGGCTGCAAACTGCAGGGAAGACTCAAAAGCAGTAGGCGGACTGCCTTTCAGTGATGCTTGCCAGCTATTAGGGATCATCTCCCTGAGGAACCCATGTCAAACTTCCAAGGGCTCCTGGGAGCACAGCTTGAAAAATAATGCTCTGCCACATGTTGTGGGGTCCCAGCTAGGAGCCCCACCTACAGACTCCCCATGAACAGATGGTGAGAAGAAAGGTGCAGGATCTTACTCCGGAGAGCACGCAAAGGAATCATGCCAGATAGAAAATGTTCAACAGCATAAGTGAATGGGTTTTTGAAGCTAGTTGGTTGACAGTGCAATTACTGCAATGTGTTGTATGCCTCTGAAGACGGTCAGGGAACTTCAGCTGGTGCAGAATTTGGCAGCCAGGTTGTTTGCCAGGGCAAGACAGCTTGAGCATATAATGCCAATCTTGTCCTGATTGCACTGGCTGCCGATTAGTTTCTGGGCCCAATTCAAAATGCTGGTTTTTAATAATGATGATGATAATAATAATAATAATAATAATAAAAGTAATAATAATTTATATATATCCCGCCCTCCCCAGCTGAAGCTGGGCTCAGAGCGGCTAAAAAGAATAAAAGTAACACAGCATTCTAAAATCAATTCATTCTAAAATCAATTCAAAATCAAATTAATGGCAACCATTGGGCTAGAGTTCTGTGAGGATTACCAAAGGAGGGGGTCAGACTGTGCCTTAGCCAAAGGCCTGGTGGAACAGCTCTGTCTTGCAGGCCCTGCGGAAAGATGTCAAGTCCCGCAGGGCCCTAATCTCTTGTGGCAGAGCATTCCACCAGGTCGGAGCCACAGCCAAAAAAGCCCTGGCTCTGGTTGAGGCCAGCCTAACCTCCCTGTGGCCTGGGATCTCCAAGATGTTTTTGTTTGAAGACCGTAAGGTCTTCCGTGGGACATACCAGGAGAGGCGGTCCCGTAGGTATGAGGGTCCTAGGCCCACGAAACCTTAAATGGCTCAGAACCGCAATATCTCAAGGACTGCCTCTCCCGATATGAACTGACCTGACCCTGTGCATTTTTGTATCTCATGTTCACACACACACAGAACTGCATTGCTAGATTGGGGAAAGTGCAAATTTCGAGAGATAGCTTTATTCTTGTTTGTGTCTTGTTCTGAAAAGTGAAGATTAGGTAAGGTCACCTTTCAACGTAAACAGAATCACATTTGTCCCCCGTCTCTTGTGGCAGGTTTTCCCCTAAGCATCATAAAGTATTGGGTCTGCCCTGGGCAAATTTTGAGTCTCTCAGCAGCAGCCTCAGAGCTGGTCGAGGCCAAAGCGTGAACATCGTCTGGGTGGGAACTGTATCCTAAAGAGTAGGTGCTTGATAAGACGCTGTTACTATCAGGGACAAAAAGAGCTAAGGCTGGCAACTTAAACACGAAAAAAGAAAAATAGGGGTTTTGTTTGTTTGTTTTTAAACTGCTTATCATTTGGCGTTGTTATGAATAATGTATTACTTGTTTAACACTGCTACTGTGCTTAGGCTTGCGTGGGTAGCATTCATTGCAGGATAGGAAAATGCAATTATTAAAAACAGTTCCATTAAAACTGTACATTTGTTTTTGAATCAGCTGTGTCTTTTAAACCTCATTAATTAAATTAAGGTCTGTCGTACCTGATAAATTATGATACCAGAGCCATCAAAGCTTTCTTCACAGTTGAGGATGGGGCAGTTTATGTAGCACGAACCCAAGGACTGTTCCTTAGGATGGTTACCTTTGGGGTGTTTCTATGTAAGGATTGCATTTAGACTCATGGTACATCTGGATAAGGATGGAGGGAAACCCCCCCCCCCATTTCTGTTCCATGGTCGCATCCATGCCATACACCATGCCTTTCAAGAACACTTAAAGCACATGACATGCTCCAAAGAATTCTGGGAATTGCTCTTTACCCCTAAGGCAGCTACAGTTCCCAGCACCCTTAACAAAGAATAGGAGTGTGTGAGAGATCGTGCGGCATGGTCACACTCACCACGGGTGTGTGGTTCCTGGAGGGTTGACGAAGGGTGAATATTATTGGTTATTGAGTTTACATACTGTCCTTTTTTTTCAAAATGTCAGCCTGGATAGCTCGGTTGGTTACAGTGTGGCACCGATAATGGCAAGATTGCAAGTTCGATCCCCGTATGGGACAGCTGCATATTCCTGTATTGCAGAAGGTTGGATGAGATGATCCCCAGTTCTACAATTCTGTGATTCTATGATTCTATCCCAGACACTGAGATCCAGCACAGAGGGCCTTCTGGCGGCTCCCTCATTGCAAGAAGTGAGGTTACAGGGAACCAGACAGAGGGCCTTCTCGGTGGTGGCGCCCGCCCTGTGGAACACCCTCCCTTCAGATGTGAAGGAAATAAGCAGCTATCCTATCTTTAAAAGACATCTGAAGGCAGCCCTGTTTAGGGAAGTTTTTAATATTTAATGCTGTATTGTTTTTAACACTTGATTGGGAGCCGCCCAGAGTGGCTGGGGAAACTCCGCCAGATGGGTGGGGTATAAATAAATTATTATTATTATTATTATTATTCTACATACAGCGAGCGGCCACAGAATGCTGCCTTTGAGTGAAAAGGTTAGATATGTTTGCCATGAAATTAACATTAGTGTCCAGAACAATGCACGTGTTTACAGAAGAGACAGGGAACCTGTGGATATTCAGTGTTGCTAGACTGTATCTCCCAGTATCTCTGACGCTTTGCAACGATGATTTGGGCCAATGGAAGTTGGAAACCAGCAGCATTCCCCCATTCCTGGTCTAGAGCATGCCCCAATGTGACTCACAAATACTAGGCTTTGTTTGCACTGGCAGAATGCATGCGGACTGAGGATCAAAACGTTTTCAGATGGATTCAATGTGGAATTAACCATCAGTGGAAGATTTCCATATTAAAGCTATACAGAGTCCTTTGCAAACAGATCCAAACATGTTTACTCTTTTCCAGGTGGAGCTCATTGGAACTGTCTGCCAACGGGATTTCAGACTAAATTGAAAATGGTTTTTCCCCCTTAGAAACCCACTTGGAACTCTGGCGCTGACCTCCAGTTTTTATTATCATTACTATTATAAAGTTTTTTCAGTTATACAAAATAATGTGAAAATGAAGAAGAAGAAAGTGTAATACAATCATACCTCGGGTTGCAGCCACTTCTGGTTGCGTTTTTTCGGCTTGTGGACCGCCGAAACCCAGAAGTACTGGAACGGGTTACTTCCGGGTTTCAGCAGTAGCGCATGCGCAGAAGTGCTAAATTGCGCTTTGTGCATGCGCAGAAGCGCCAAATTACAACCCGCGCGTGCGCAGACGTGCAGCTGTGGGTTGCGAATGTGCATCCCACATGGATCACGTTCGCAACCCGAGCGTCCACTGTATATGCTACTATATGTAGGATTCTTATATATACTAATACATACAGTAGTACCTCGGTTTAAGAACAGTCCTGTTTATGAACGATTCAGTTTATGAACTCCGCAAAACCGGAAGTAGTGTCTTGGTTTGCAAACTTTACCTTGGTCTACGAACGGAAACTGAACAGTGGAAGGGCACTGGCAGCGGGAGGCCTCATTAGGGAAAGTGCGCCTCAGTTTAAGAATGGATTTGGTTTAAGAACAGACTTGCGGAACGGATTAACTTTGTAAACAAAGGTACCACTGTATACGATTATTAATAACCTACTATATTCTGTGTAAACTCATTCCAAATATCAATATATTTATCCAAACAAAGTCTGCGCCTATAAGCAATCGGTTCACGTGTTGCAAGTGCTGTCATGCCTCTAATCCATTGATTAAAGGGGATCATATTTTTGTTTTTCCAGTTCATCAATACTAGTCTTTTGGCCATAGTTAGGGTACGTACGGTCATACCTTGGTTCCTGAACGTAAAGACTCTCCTCCCTGCAAGAGAGGGGAGTGGTTGTGGCCGGGAGCCGGACTCCGCCTCAAGCAGGGGGCGTTTGCCCCCTGCCTCCCACCCACCTGGCTGGCGCCCACGCCCTCGGCCAGGCACCCAACCAGGTGCCTTCAAGGGGGCGTGTACAGCAGCCTAAATTGCTGCGGCGCCAGCCTCCAGCCCTCACTTTTTGTCGTCCCGTCGCGAGTGGGGGTTAGACGACCTGAACAGATTCTAGAAGTCCATTTGAAAACCAAGGCACGACTTCCGATTGGCTTCAAGAGCTTCCTGCACTCAACCGGAAGCCGAGTTGGAAGTTCAAGTTCCAAAGAATTTTCGCAAACTGGAACACTCACTTCTGGGTTTGTGGCATTCGGGAGCCAAAAGGTACGAGTACCAGGGCATTCGAGAACCAAGGTACAACTGTACTGTGTTTCGTCTGGGGGCATGTTGTGTGCTACCTTGGCTGTCTGATAGTGCAGACCCAGGTCACTGAGCCGGAGCTTCTACAGCCGCCTCTTGCCATGAACCCCCATTGGCAAGATTGCCAGCAACAGCAGCAGATATGTCCTATGCTTAAGATGATCTTTTATTCTCTTGCTAGTTATGCTATTTCAAATGTGCATTTTATACATCCTTTAGTGATGTTATCTTTTGAAAAAAGACATGTTTGGGGTAGCTTTGCTGTGTTAAGTATGCGTTCTGTAGTTGACCTCCTTTGTACTGTTTTCTTTTGAAAACTTTGAAGATAATATTTTAGCTTCCTGTTAAATAATTTGCTTTGAACGTGTGCTTTATATTTGACTTTCTTTTCAGTAATGTTTTATTCGGGATTGATTTATCTGATGCTGTAAACTGCTTTGAGGGTTTTTTTTCTTAAAAAAATAAAGTGATATAGAAATAATAATAATAATAATAATAATAATAATAATAATAATAATAATAATTTCATCATCCCCTGTTTATTTTCCAAAACATTGTGCCCCAGAGTGTCACAATCCTTTTTTTATGGACAGTGATATATTACTAAAATAAATAAATAAACAAATAAACAAACCCAAACTCGGAGCCAAGAGCAGCTGAATAAATCATGTAAAGTAAGTTCAATTCCATGTTTGTTTACTTTGTATAATTTATTCTCCTCCTGCTAGCCAGAGGGGATATCAGCACTGAAGCCTCACCTCCTGACTTACGTCTTGAATAGAGATGTGTACATGTCTACTAAAAAATAAGCCCACTGAGTTCAGTGAGATTTCACTAGCAGGTAAGTGGGTATAAGCTTGCAGAAAGTTCCGGGCAACATTAGTACCATACATTTAACAGTGTTATTTTTCTAGAAAAAGAAGTGTTGGAACTCAACCTGAACATCTCCCTTGTTCTCTTATAATGGCAAGGGTGCCCACCTGAGAGATGCCAGAACTGAGTTCTGGAGAGCTCCAGCTGAAAAAAAGACCTACATCCGCACCAAGGGTCAGAAGCAATAGACAAAATCGATAATTTCCTATACAGTGGTACCTCGGATGAAGTACTTAAATCGTTCCGGAGGTCCGTTCTTAACCTGAAACTGTTCTTAACCTGAGGTACCACTTTAGCTAATGGGGCTTCCCACTGCCACTGTACGATTTCTGTTCTCATCCTGAAGCAAAGTTCTTAACCCGAGGTACTATTTCTGGGTTAGCAGAGTCTGTAACCTGAAGTGTCTGTAACATGAAGCGTATGTAACCCGAGGTACCACTGTATACTTATTTATCAGCTAAAGTAGCAGAGTCTAAAATCAGTATTCATTCACTGACCGTTGCTGTCACCACGACCTGTCTTGTCCTCATTGCCATAAAACAGAATTTCTTGACAGCCCTTGTGACATCTGGGTCTTTGTCAGCAAGAAAGTGTTCAACATAGGTTTCCTCTGAGCAGCCAGACACAAACTCATAAAATGCAATTTTTAGCAGTGGTTCCTGCATTTCAGGTGACTGGAGCAGATGATTCTTGGGGTCCCATCCAACTCTACAGTTCTGTGATTCTATGAAAACAAGTTTTGTGGCACCTTAAAAAATAAAAACAAACATATTGTGCCATTAGCCTTCAGGAATTAGAACCCACTTTGCCAGATTCATGAATAGTTATTCTTTCTTGTCAGGTGTGTGAGTGTGTGTGTTGGGTTTGGATTGCTTCAATAATGATCATCAAAACACTACTAAACCTTAGGTTACGCAAATACAATCCTAGTAACAACACACATAACATAACAGCCTGTTTTTGACTATGTAACTTCTATTTCAAACACAATTCAACACATAATATCTCACAATGTGTATCTCACAATGTGTAATTCCATAGACCAACACATCATGCAAACAGAACACATCCTGAGAAATTAAATATTGGCATATTGGCAATAACCACAATATGGTAAGCATACCATATTGTGGTTATTGCCAATATGCCAATTTAGGAACTGAATGGACTTTATCTCCTGACCATCCATTGGACTTTAATTTCTCAGGCTATGTTCTGTTTGCATGATGTGTTGGTCTATGGAATTACACATTGTGAGATACTATATGTTGAATTGTGTTTGAAATAGAAGTTACATAGTCAAAAGCAGCCTGTTACGTTGTGTGTGTTGTCAATAATGATAATCAACAACAGTTACAAAGGCCTTTTGGTTTCCCATGGGTTGGCCATAGTAGCAGTGCCCGCCCTGTGGGACACCCTCCCATCAGATGACAAACAGCTAAACAGCTAACTGATTTTTAGAAGACATCTGAAGGCAGCCCTGTTCCGGGAAGTTTTTAATGGCTGATGTTTTATTGCATTTTTAATATTTTGTTGGGAGTTGCGCAGAGTGGCTGGGGCAACCCAGTCAGATGGGTGGCATATAAATAATAAAGTTGTTGTTGTTGTTGTTGTTGTTGTTGTTGTTGTTGTTGTTGTTGTTGTTGTTAATAGATGGGTCTTTGGTCTGATCCAGCAGAGCTCTTCTTAGGTTTTTAACCCACCCTCAAAGCTCTGATTGACCAAGCTTTTGTGCATCTTGGCGACTTCTGATTTCAAAGATCCTTGAGAGAAAGGAACAGCGTGTGGATTGTCATAAGCCATCTGGCAAAGGACTGGCAGATAAACCTCTCAGATCGTTCAGCACAGATACAGATTCTCCATCGTCTAACACCAGAAAGCGGCATCTTGCGTGCGACTTGGAAGGCGCTGCCCTGCTCTGCCGAAGCAAGGGGATGCACAGAGGCCAAGCTTGAAATCCTGCGCGCCGTTCCGTTTGACAAATGGCGTGCTAAAAATGGAAAGCACAGAACAGAAGGCAACCAGTAGGATAAAAAAAGAAGAAGACACACACATAGAAAGAGAGACTTTGGTTCTTCAGGAAGGATGGAGAGGGGAGCAAAGGAATCCCAACAGCAAAGCCTTCGAAAACCGAGAGCTGAACAGAGGGACCTCGTTAAGGTAAACAAAAATTTCATAAGGGGAGCAGAAAAGATAAACGCTACCTGGGTTATTATTAGCTCACGTCAAATACGGGAGCAGCAGGGATGTGCACTTCAGATACAGTGCAAGAGCTTCGCAGAGTTTAAGTGGAATTCCTTGCACAGAATGCGGTTAATAGATGGAATGTGGCATTGCTGGCAGCATGAGAAACAATCAAGCTAAACAGCCTGCAGAGCTATTAGAGGGTGAAATACATATTGTGGAATGAGAGACAACAGGCCTGCCCATCCTCGTCTGTGTGTTTACTTAGAAGTCAGCTCCACTGAAACCAGCAGGGCTTGATCCCAAAGACGTAGGCGCAAAACGGCAGCCTCAGAGGCAGAAGGAACCAAAATAGGAAATCTGCTGCTGGCAGAATAGTGGCTGTTATATTTATTTATTTGTTTGTGGCTTTCCCCCCCTTCAGAACCCTGAAATGCTCTTGATCTGGCTGTTGAAAGGATGACCGACTATTGTGGGTAGAGAACAAAAAGGCTAACGGAGGACGAATGGAATGCAGAAGCATGAAAAAGGTCCTGGCTGGCCAGACCCCTGAAAGACAGTGCATTCCACGCTGCAATGTCTTGTTGCAGGCCCCACTCGCTTTGTCGATAACAAATGTCAGATTCACGGGTGCGAGTGTTTAATGATGTTGGGCATACAACGACCGCGGCGCTCTTTTCGTCTGCCTGAAACATCTGCAATAATGTCCTGAAAGGATTTCTGGGCATTTTGCTGTGTGGAAAACATACTTCACCTCTGCTATTTGGTGGAGTAATATGGTTATTTGCTATTGGTATTTCTTACTACATTTCTGCTGTTATTCTCAGGGCTTGGAAAATGCAGCTGATTGATTCCCGCCCCCGCAACGTGGTAGGCCAATCCCGTGATTGTAATAAGGGCCAACTGCTGGAGAAGTATTGGGATGAACCATTGATTAAGTTGACACCGTAATCTATTTTCCTGCGCATCGCAGGCTGAATTTACAGTCCGTGTACACCCACATTACTGACACATTGTTCTGTGTGAATAATCTTGCTTGGGCGACTTTGCCTGTGCTCGGCTTTTATTAATATTAGAATACCGCTCGGAACTCTTGAACAGAATGAAAGGGGAGGCTGAAGAAATTATACCAAAGCTTGCTTTTTTTTTTAAGGAACAGGAGGAAGTACAATGGGGAGAAATGACATAGATGTTCAAAATGGCTGCCTGAAAAAGCCGCATTTTCCAAACAGAAAGGCAACAGTTGCAATCCAGGTCGGCAACTTTGATAGGTTGCTCTAAGCAGTCCTTTTTCGGGGGGGGGGGGGGAAAGCAGGGGTACGCATACCCCTAAACATTTTGTGAATCCAAAAAAAAGAAACTAAAAAACTAAAACTAAACTAAACTAAAAAAAAATGAAAATTTTTAGTTTCTTCTCTAGCACGGTGAATCATTAGTTCCGTTGCTACGACTGATGGTGGCCTCATTTCTTATCATGGTGTTTCCTAAGTCTCAGACAGAAGTGAATGTTTAATGTGTGAAGCAGGAGTTGGAATCTAGCACGGTGATTGGTCAGTTTCGTTGTTACCACCTCCGATGGCGGCTTCATTTCCTTTCCCAGTGCTTCCTGAGTTTCAGTTGGAAGTGAGCGTTTAATGTGTGAAGCAGTGTGGAATGCATCTAAACACTGTAGCCAACTTAATGTTTATAAAATTGGTACGTCCTCCTTTGTGTTTGTTTAAGCCTTCAGTGTATGGTTTTTGAAAGGACGACATCTGGCGACAGACACCAACAGCAAACAGAGGAATCGGGAAGATGTTAGTGCACACAACCTCATGCCAATGTGGAAGTTACTGTGAGCTGTCAGCTGTGTAACATGAGGTAATGCATGTTCTTTGGACTTTTGTCCATTTACTGTATTTATTTTCCCCGATTTGAACTAGAAAATGGTGATTTTCTTGAGTCAAAATGGAAGTACCCCTAATTTTTTATTTATTTTTTAGAGGAAGAAAGCACTGGTTTTAAGGTACTTACTTATCTCATGACAGTTCTTGCCAGCACCTGCAATTCTGTAAATATGGCTTTTGGATTTCATTTTGTGTTGATGTTTTACTTACGTTATGACTCATAAGCTGTAAGATGAATGCAGACAAGCTGAGATGTGGATGTCCAAATCACACAAAATCCTAGCCAGGAGGGCTATACTCTGCTTCCTTAGTTGGAGTCTGTAGTGCTTCTGAGTACCAGTTGTTGAAAGCCACAGGATGCACTCAAATCCTGCTTTGGGTTTCCCTCAGGCATCTGGTTGGTCACTGTGAGAACAGGATTCTGGACCAGATGGGCCGCTGGCCTGATCCAGAGGGCTTTTCTGGTGTTCTTAAAATGAAATGACAAAAACCCTAAAATGAAAACTAACACAAATGCATTTTGATTTAAGGTCTTCTTTAGTGGTTTCTGGCAAAGATAAAGGTAAAGGTAAAGGGACCCCTGACCATTAGGTCCAGTCGCGGACGACTCTGGGGTTGTGTGCTCATCTCAGTCTATAGGCCGAGGGAGCTGGCGTTTGTCCGCAGACAGCTTCCGGGTCATGTGGCCAGCATGACAAAGCCACTTCTGGAGAACCAGAGCAGTGCATGGAAACGCTGTTTACCTTCCCGCTGGAGCAGTACCTATTTATCTACTTGCACTGGCGAGCTTTCGAACTGCTAGGTGAGCAGGAGCAGGGACTGAGCAACGGGAGCTCACCCCATCGCGGGGATTTGAACTGCCGACCTTCCGATTGGCAAGCCCTAGGCTCTGTGGTTTAGACCACAGCACCATCCATGTCCCTTTCTGGCAAAGATACTTACAGTATATAATGAAGAAAGAAAGAAAGAAAGAAAGAAAGAAAGAAAGAAAGAAAGAGAAACCTGTGACCCTCCAAATATTGACATTAAACTCCCATCATCCCTGACCATTGGCCATGCTGGAGCTGTAGTCCAATGGTAGCCAGAGGGCCACTGGTTCCTCACCCCAGAATTGTAGAATGGAGCAGAGAAGGGAACTCAAAACAAGTTTGCCACAAGGCCAAAGTTCTCTCTGTAGGCCTATGCAGAAATCTTCCTTGTTCTTCTATGCCCATGTTCAATTTGGCATGCCCGCCACAGCCGTCTCGACTAAAATAAATGCATAACGGATAAAATGAGAGCCAATAACGAAGGATGACCTCTCCCAGCTGCAGTGGGCTCTCCTTTAAACCCTTGGCGAAGATCATTAGTGTCTTGTCGTAAATGCAAAGCTAAAGGTTATTGTTATTGCCAGAGCTGTCAATCTCCTTTGCAAATAATGAGAGCAACAAGAGCAGCAGCAGCAGCAGTGAACGGCCGCTTGAAACAGTTGGAATCCCTCTGTGCTCTTGCACACTTCCCTTTTTTGGGAAGGAAAAAAGAGCTTTCGGAGCCGTTGCAAATGGCAGTTAAGAATAACAGATCTCCGCAGCCTGTCTGGCTCCAGGGTCATTTAATTCATATACCGGCGCAGGCAGCTTGAAGGGGAATCGAGAACGGAAGCCAGCTATGCGTGGAAATCCTTTATTTTTGATTTGCAATGTCTCAGCATGGAGGATCATGGGAAATCAAGAGAGATTTCTTGTGTTGCTGTTTTATCTTTTAAAAAAAGCAACACAAAATTATTTGTGCAAAACTAACTGGTGCAGAGAATAAGGCATACTTAACTAAATACTAAATACAGGCTGCAGTTTGAGAGCGCTCTTTTCAGCCCAGAAAGACTGGCCGGGCTGGCCACAGAATCAGAATGAGATTTGGGCCACATTCACACAAAGCGCTTAAAGTGCTGTGATGCCAGTTTAAGCTGTCAGGGCTTCTCTCAAAGGATTCTGGGAACTGCCATTTGTTAAGGGTGCTGAGAGTTGTGAGGGGACCCCAATTCCCTCCCCCCCCCAGCTACAGTTTCCAAAGTGGTTTAACATTCAACCCCTCTTCACAGGGGAGTCTGGGAACCGTAGCTCTGTTAGAAACACAAGCCTGGAAGCTAAGTCTGAAGTTACACCGTGTGTTTAGATACTCTGCACGAGCTCAAGAGCTCTCTCTCTTTTAGAGCCAGTGTGGTGTAATGGTCAGAGTGTTGGACTATGACTTGGGAGCATAGCTGTCAACTTTCAGATTTGAAAATAAGGGATCAGCAGCCTCGAAAATAAGGGAGCAGCAGCCTCACCTGTCCTGGGGACAGTCTATGGGATAACTAACAATCCGGGATAGCAGCGGGAAGCAGCGGGAAATGGTGCTGGAATAAGGGAATTTCCCGCAAAAAAAGGGAAGGTTGACAGCTATGCTTGGGAGGCTGGGATTCAAATCCTCACTCAACCTTGAGCTTACTGCGTGGCCCTGGGCCCGTCATTGCCTCTCAGCCTGACCTCCCTCACAGGGTTGTTGTGAGGGTAAAATGGGGAGGGGAGAACCATGTATCCTCACCTTGAGCTGCTTGGAAGAAAAGGTGGTATATAAATCTAATAAACAAAGAAACAAACAAATCAGTGCAAATTAAACCATATGTCCCACCCTAAACCACAGAGCCTAGGGCTTGCTGATCAGAAGGTTGGCGGTTTGAATCCCCGCGACGGGATGAGCTCCTGTCGCTCGGTCGCAGCTCCTGCCAACCTAGCAGTTCGAAAGAACATCAAAGTGCAAGTAGATAAATAGGTACCACTCCGGCAGGAAGGTAAACAGCGTTTCCGTTTGCTGCTCTGGTTCGCCAGAAGCGGCTTAGTCGTGCTGGCCACATGACCTGGAAGCTGTACGCCGGCTCCCTCGGCCAATAAAGCGAGATGAGCGCCACAACCCCAGAGTCGTCCGCAACTGGACCTAACAGTCAGGGATACCTTTACTTTTACCTTTTACTACCCTATCAAACTAATTATTAGTCAGGCTTGTAATCTGTTTTGGATTTACTTTTGTGGGATGTGAAACTTGTAGCAGTCAAGTTCAAGATTCCTACAGTGGACATGTTAGGGAATGTTTTGTACCACTCGGGAGAAAACTTCCTGTTTCCTCTTGAGCTGGGACAGACTTCCACTGCATGTGACTTGAAGTGGGTGTGGCCTATTCTGGGTAGAGGAGCACACCTCCTCCATGTGCTTCTTTTTCTTCTCCTTCATTTTTGTTTTCCTATGTATTAGGAGAGTGACTCAGTCACTGCTCAGTCGCACTCACTTGGGACTAACTCCCTTATGGGATTGTTCATGTAGATATGCACTTTTGTAACCTAAGTCTGCCTTCAGGGATCTAACTGTGAACTGAAAGATTGTAAGTAAACTACTTTTACATTGACTTTAATAAGACTGTCGTGTCTATTCTTTTCAAGAGGGACAAGAAGGGATCTTATCAGGAATCTTATATTGAGAGGCTCAGACGAGCCTGCAACAAGCTAACCACTGTGTGATTGAAAGGGGAATGCTCTGCTAAGATACAGAACTTGCTAACGCAAGTTAGGAAGAATATCATCAAACAATATATCCTCTCCTGCCTCCCTGAACATTCCTACAACTTTTTAATGATTGGTTTGGTTTATTGTATTTTTGTGTTGTGCTTCACACTACTTTCTGATTTATTTATTTTTAAGAAATGAAAAGTGGTATATAAATATTTTTAAATTTACACTAAAAATGAAGAAGAAGGAGAACAAAAACAGAGCAAGACGGTTAAGGATCCATAAAGGCAGGGAAACCTTTTCGGCCCTAGCGTTGGAAAACAGCAGGAAGGAAAGGTGCCCATGTCTTGTCTTCTGCTTGTGGTTCGCTGTGCCGGCGTCAGCAGAAGATGCTGCCTGTCTGATAAACCCGGCACTCTCCATCTTCAGGGCCATTTGCCTTGGGAGCCAGGTTCACGTGATGCTATCGGCAGATGATTTATGGCTGTTGCCTCTCGCCTGACATTTTGGGGGAAAGTTTTCATTGTTCATAACCGGCTTGCAAACAACGGCAGACGTTGCAGGTGCAGCAGAATTTTAAATGCGAGCGCAATTAAATGGGATGTGGGCCGCCAGCCGCCAGCAGGAAGCTTCCCCGTAATAGTGCAGGAGAGTGGAACTCTCTGCAGTATTGATCTTGTGATGTTTCAGCGAGAGGTTGCTTCAAAGCACAGTTGCTACATAATGGCATATGGTCTCTCTCTCTCTCTCTTTCTCCCTCTCTCTCCATTGCTGCTGCTTCAATATTTTCTGCATAGCGAAGATGCACTCTGCCAGCACCTCTGTGGCAATAATTGGATCAGATGTATGTTACAAGCGAAAGATGATAAAAAAACAGCTCGCTTGATTGTTGTTTAAGCTCTGCGGATATCTCCCGTCTTGTCCCTTTGATAGATTCTGCTCCTTTTTCTTAAGCAAGCGTACAAAGTGCATCTCTTAAAAACAATTAAGAATCTACGGTAGCGGTGGGGTAAGGGGAAAGAGGGGTGGGTGGGGAATTAATATACATGCAAAGGATGTAAGTAAAAGAAGACAGAAGTTTGTGCAAACAACATTCTTTCGACCTCCGGGGCGAGGTACGTGGCCAAGACTCCCGCTGGTGGAGCAATGCCATCCACGGTTGAGTTGTCTATAAAAAGGCACGCGGCTCAAAATATTACAAGTTGCAACACCTTGTGAGATTTATTGGTTGAGAGTCTGGCAAAGCTGATGAAGCAGGGAATATAATGCACACCTAGCCAACATAAATCAGAGCCGGGGACACGAGACACCAGATTCGTCTCTTGTTATACAGCTAATATCTCCAGATTGCTTTTAATCATTTTGTTTTGTGCCCTCCAGAAGCAGGAAGGGAGAAACATCATACGCCACATGCAGCGAGCGTCATCCATCTGTCAGTTCCCAGCCCAAGGCGGTGCAACGGTTCAGCTGATCCCTGTGCATAAGGAGGCAACCCCGATGTCTTGGCAGTGCTTCCCATTTACAGATGCTCTGCTCTGAATTCGAATTCTAAAGCAGGGGTTAGGAACTTCTGGTTTGCAGGCCTAATTAGGCCCACCAGGCATTTTGAGCCAAGCAACACCCACCTGCTCTACACCTGACATCACGTATGGGACGAGTTTAGTTGCAGCTGGGCCAAAGAGGGGTTTGTGGGTACCTTTGATCGGCTGATCGACAGCACCTGTAAAGCCCCTGGCAAGGCTGATTTTCCGGGGCTGCAAAGCGCAGCACAGGATCTCAGCAGCCACCAAGACTGAGGTGATCATTTCAATCCAGGGGGCTTGGAGGATTCCCCATTCCTGTTGCGTGGTGAGTTCCCGCCTCCCCCCGGTGGAAATGAAGACACCAGACATGATTATTTAGGTTAATGGGCAAAAAAGGCCACAACTTTATTGGTTACAGTTAATGAGTGGTATTGGCTTAGGCACTGGTCCTAACCGATTATCCAGCTTCAGCCTGATTGCTTGAAGACCGGGAAGGGTTAACCACCAGTAGGGGGAGTCCTGCTGATGCACATCAACTAGGAACTCCCCCGGGGTCACCGCTCAGGGGCGTGCCTTGGGCCCTGGCCTCCATAGGCTTCAGAGAGGGCCACGCCTGATGGGAAGTTCTGCTTCTGCACATGAGTCTGGCAAACCGCTCTAAGCTGAAGCATTCCTTCCTCACCCACCCTAGAATCTTTAGTTCACATTGTGTTCATGAAACATCGTACCCTGACCTGTTCTTAATGCATGGTTGACCACATCTACGGAATGCGATTGTTATGCTCTTTTAAGTTTTGCAATATCAATCACTAGTAACAGTTTAATAAGGAGGTTTTCATACTTGTCCAACCATGTGTTCCCAACCTTTAATCTATTGATGATTAATGCCTATATGCAACCCTTGTATTGTATTTGTGTTAACCAATCAGCAACAAGCACATATGTGGCAATGCTGTAATATTCAACAAAAGGGACTCCCCGAGACATGCTCGGCAGATGCCTCCCATATGACACTTGTCATTCGTCTGTCGTTTATTTCAAGCCAACACACACACCCCAGAATCCTTTACAGGACTACCCTTTGTTATGCGGCGGAGGTGATGGCGCTTCCTCCCCCCTTCATCTACATAACAATACCCCTACCAATGCCTAACCGCCAGTGCCGAGAAAGTTGTGACGATTTGCTACGATGTAGGCAAAAAAATCAAATGGCTGGTGCCAATTTGCCAAGTGGAAAAAATTCCTACCAGGCCCCTTGACGGCGACCAACCGAGGTCCATAGCAAGGTCAAAGAAAGGACCTAAAGGGCGGCGGGGGGGGGGGACCTGAAGAGCTGCGGCGTCCAAAGAGGGAGATCCCCGGCCACGCCAGTTTAATAAGGTGCAAGCCCCGCCCCCCTAGGCCAGCTGATTGGCTGGCCAGGGAATGACGTGGCTGGGAATTCCATCAATTGCATGGAGGCTGAGAGCCAGCCCCCGCACATGTGGAGAGGGCGTGAAGCCCGCAACTCCACCTCCTCTCAAGTTTGGATGTGGTTTTCCTGCATTTCAGGGGGTTGGACTAGATATCTCTTGGGGTCCCTTCCAACTCTACAATTCTATGATTCTATGACCATAGCTCAGTGGTAGAGCATGCAGAAGATATCAGGTCCAATAGCCAGCATCTCCGGGTATAGCTGGGAAAGGCTCCTGCCAATCACCCTGGAGACTGGCTGCCAGTCTGTGTAGACAATAGTGAGCTAGATGGACTGAGTTGGCATCAGGCAGCTTCCTATGTCCCCACGATTGCTGTGCAGTCAGCAGCACAGTCATGTGCTGTCCCAAGAGCTCTCACTCTGTCCATTTCTCACAGCTATTATTACAGGAACATTGTGCAGGTATACAAAGCTATACAAAGCCTCTCACATGTGTGGCAAGCACAGCCTGGAAGTTGGGACAGTTCTTATGCTGCAGCCACCAGAGACTCCTTCCATAGGTGCAGATGAAGCTATCGGTTGTCTGTGTAGCCCTGCACAGTGTGCTCAAGCTGTGTTTTATAGGCAGAGATGAGCCAGGAGTCACCAGCCAAAACTGGTAGTCATTAATGCAGGAATGGAACAGAGCTATGGGTAAAAAAACAAAACAGGGAAAGCAACACAGATCGCAAGTAGACAGATTCACCTGCCCTTAGTCTGAGCCAGGGAAGAATTAAGGGGTCATAATATTCTCAAGTCTTCTGTGAGGCAAGCATTATGAACTCCCCGAAACTCATAATACCCCAGCTTGGAAGTAGAGTTCTGTGGTTTTTCTATACATATAGGAGGGACCTCCATATGTTGATATAATAATAATAATTTATTATTTATACCCCGCCCATCTGGCTGAGTTTCCCCAGCCACTTTGGGCGGCTCCCAGTCGAGTGTTAAAAACAATACAGCATTAAATATTAAAAACTTCCCTAAACAGGGCTGCCTTCAGATGTCTTTTAAAGATAGGATAGCTGCTTATTTCCTTGACATCTGAAGGGAGGGCATTCCACAGGGCGGGTACCACTACCGAGAAGGACCTCTGTCTGTTTTACTGTAACCTCACTTCTCTCAATGAGGGAACCGCCAGAAGGCCCTCAGTGCTGGATCTCAGTGTCCAGGCTGAACGATGGGTGTGGAGATGCTCCTTCAGGTATACAGGACCGAGGCCATTTAGGGCTTTAAAGGTCAGCACCAACACTTTGAATTGTGCTCGGAAACGTACTGGGAGACAATGAAGATCTCTCAGGACCGGTGTTATGTGGTCCCGGTGGCCACTCCCAGTCATCAGTCTAGCTGCCGCATTCTGGATTAATTGCGGTTTCCGGGTCACCTTCAAAGGTAGTCCCACGTACAGCGCATTGCAGTAGTCCAAGCGCGAGATAACTAGAGCATGCACCACTCTGGCGAGACAGTCTGTGGGCAGCTAGGGTCTCAGCCTTCGTACCAGAAGGAGCTGGTAGGCAGCTGCCCTGGACACAGAATTAACCTGCTCCTCCATGGACAGCTGTGAGTCCAAAATGACTCCCAGGCTGCACACCTGGTCCTTCAGGGGCACAGTTATCCCATTCAGGATCAGGGAATAGATAGACTACAGCTCCCAACAATCCTGACTGGCTGGGGCTGGTGGGAGTCCAACCACATTCAGAGGGCCACAGGTTCCTGAGCCCTGCAATATATAAATAAATAGGGACACGGGTGGTGCTGTGGTCTAAACCACTGAGCCTCTTGGGCTTGCTGATCTGAAGGCCAGCAGTTTGAGTCCACACGATGGGGTGAGCTCCGGTTGCTCTCTCCCAGATTCTTCCCACCTAGCAGTTCAAAAGCATACCAGTGCAAGTAGATAAATAGGTATCGCTGTGGCGGGAAGGTAAGTGGTGTTTCTGTGCGCTCTGGCACTTTTCATGGTCCTCCGTGCGCTGGTAGCGGTTTATTCTTGCTGGCCACATGACCCGGAAAGCTGTCTGTGGACAAACGCCAGCTTCCTTGGCCTGAAAATCGAGATGAGTGTCGTACCCCATAGTCACCTTTGACTGGACTTCACTGTCCAGGGGTCCTTTCCATTTTCCCTTTTCCCTATATCAATAAATCTTTGCATATATTGGTGCCGCTTTGCAACATGTCTGGCAGGGTTGCACCTAAATAATTCCCATGAGAATCAGGATTCCTCCTTGAAAGTATCACCAGCACTTCCAGATTGTAAGCCATTTTAGTTTTTGGAATCATTCCTTGGACATATATGATTTCAGAGAAATTAGTCAAAGAGACTGCAGTCCTAAGCATATTTACGAGGGAGTAAATCCCATTCAACACATTCAAAGTCCCTGGCAGGTTCTGGTCATGGTTTTTTCCCCTTGGAAAGCCTGCCTCTCTCTCTCTCTCTCTCTCTCTCTCTCTCTCTCTCTCTCTCTGTCATAGATATACTTGAATCACTGCAAAAGCAATCTCTGGAAGAAAAGAAAACATGACATCAAGCTTGGCCCTCAAACATGCAGGATTACCATTACTATGTCATATAAAACAAATCCTCTTTGAAACACGGAAGTCAAATGACCTATTTCTGCAGGAGGGTTCCAAACTTGTCGTATAACTCATTCAGGTTCCAAAAACAAATTGCCTGTAAGTGGAACAAGATGAACCAGAACTTTCAGAAAGCACCATTGAACAGCCTAAGACAGCTACATGGGATCAATTATCATTCCCATTGCTGTTGTTTTGTTGAATTCCTATACCCACCCTTCCTCCCTAAGGAGCCAAGGATGGCATCATCTTATTGGATTCGTCTGCCTATCCATCTGCCATGGATGCTTCAGTTGAGATTCCTGCATTGCAGAGGGTTGGACTAGATGAGCTTTAAGGTGCCTTCCAACTCTGCGATCCAATGATTCTAACATTATCACACCATCAGTGCTCATGGCGCTTTGCAGAGCGCATGAAGACAAGGCCTTTGCCCCCCAAAGGTTACAACCTGAACTCAGACAAGAGGGAAACTTGGCAGAATGGATTTGTACCATTCCGGCGAGGGGGGGGGGGTCGAGCCCTACTTTTGAACGCTCTCCATGTAACATAATTGCCAGCAAGTAAAAACTAGCACAGTGGGAAGCAGACGGAGCCAGAACTTCCCCCCTGATGTTTTATGGGCTTCTTTTTTCTCACTGTGAGGATCTGGTGAGCTGCAGAGAAGATGGTTGGAGTTTCAGGGCTGCCAATGAAGCGCTTGGCTTGTTGCTTCTGAGGCTACTTTGAGGAGGGGACGCACATGTAAACAGAGGCCCGCAAGTTCCAGACGTATCATACATTTACCTACATTGCAAATACCATCAGTTTTACAAAAATGCATCTTGAAATCCCTTGCATGTTTATGCTTACGAAAAACGTCTGAAAATCAAGGCTCTGGAACACAGAAAGGGCAATTTCCCATAAAGATCACCATGAATTACCTGAACATGCTGGCAGGTAGTTGGGGTGTGTGGGATTTGCTTTAGTTCACATATGAAAGCGAACTTGTTGTTGTTGTTTAGTCATTTAGTCATGTCCGACTCTTCGTGACCCCATGGACCAGAGCATGCCAGGCACTCCTGTCCTCCACTGCCTCCCTCAGTCTGGTCAAACTCATGTTAGTAGCTTCGAGAACATTGTCCAGCCATCTCATCCTCTGTCATTCCATTCTCCTAGTGCCCGCAATCTTTCCCAGCATCAGGGTCTTTTCCAGGGAGTCTTCTCTTCTCATGAGGGGGCCAAAGTATTGGAGCCTCAGCTTCAGGATCTGTCCTTCCAGTGAGCACTCAGGGCTGATTTCCTTCAGAATGGATAGGTTTGATCTTCTTGCAGTCCATGGGACTCTCAAGAGTCTCCTCCAGCAAACTTACCTAATTTTTACTTTCCCAAACAATTGGAGAACTGTAGCACAGTTGTCCTTCAAAAGACATAATACTCTGGATTTCACAGTGCAGTCCTCCAGTCAAATGTTATGTACAAGAATACATGTATTAGGGTAAAGTGTACGTCAAAATGCCTGTATTAGGGGAAATAATATACAAAGATGCATTGCATTAAGCAAGATTGCTTTGCAAATACCTGCACGTTGGACAAAATTGCACGCAGCTATGTTTCTATTAGGAGAAAATCACACCAAAATGTTGGTGAATATTCATGAGGGTTTTTTCTAAATGCAAACTGATGTGGCAAGCTGAACATCCCTTTCTGGAAAACTTCTTTAGCTCAGCCCTAAATTATTTTAACGGTTAAATATGGAGACAGGAAGCAAAACAAGGCACTGATGCTTCTGGCCATTACGCCCCCTTGTTATCTGAAATAGCAGTTTCAGAGCAGTTAATGAGAAACAAAATAGTGTCATTTACAATATATCCTAGTTGGCTCCTTTTTTTCTTCTTCCTTCCTTAAGCGTAATTGCTCGTGCCCTTCATTGCCTCTTCCTTTCTCAAACATGTTTCTGGAAGCAAAAGAAAAACTCGACATTTATTGAGATGCACAACTCTGCCATTGCACAATGAGCTTCCAACTTCACTGCGGCAAGTCCAGGGGGCCTGCCTGACTCAACCCTGGTTGAGGGATGAGTCAAGCAGTAATAATAATAATAATAATAATAATAATAATAATAATAATGATAAAACATCAATCATTAGAAGCTTAAAAATAAAATATTAAATACTTCCCTAAACAGGGCTGCCTTCAGATGTCTTCTAAAAGTCGGATAGTTGTTTATTTCCTTGACATCTGATGGGAGGGCGTTCCACAGGGTGGTGCCACCACCAAGAAGGCCCTCTGCCTGGTTCCCTGTAACCTCACTTCTCTTAGGGTGTGAACCGCCAGAAGGCCCTGGAGTTGGACCTCAGTGTCCGGACTGAACAATGGGGGTGGAGACGCTCCTTCAGATATACTGGGCCGAGGCCTTTTAGGGCTTTCAAGGTCACCACCAATACTTGAATTGTGATCGGAAATGTACTGGGAGCCAATGTAGGTCTTTCATGACCTGTGTTATATGGTCTCGGTGGCCACTCCCAGTCACCAGTCTAGCTGCCACATTCTGGATTAGTTGTAGTTTCTGGGTCACCTTCAAAGGTAGCCCCACGTAAAGCGTGGTAGATTTAGGGGAATGGGTGTAGAGTATTGGCACCGCAGGCGGCACCACAAATATGGTTTAGAATGGGGCACAAAAGCGGGGAGCACCAGATTTTGGTGTCGCACAGAGCTCCGCCAACATTTGTGAGCCCAAGATCCTCCACTGATGGGCACCAGACAGGTGCCAATCATGCTGTCCCTTGCTGCCAGCCCTAGGGTAAACTCAGCCCATGAGAATTGTTCTGCTTCTTATGGACAAAACTTCTGACATCTGAGCAGGTTAGAGCTATGATGAGCAGGAGGTCATACCCTGTTGGCAAAGATCTTAAGCATTCCCCTGCTCTATATTTCCAGGACTTCAGCATGGAAACTCTGTGATACATGTATTTCCTATTGCATTTCGCACAAACGTTTGGGGACTAATCCCAAATATGCCTAACTTGGCAAATCTGACACAATGAGGAAAGGTTAAACTATGATTGCGATCTCTGCTAAGCTTGTCCTGGCTAGAAGGCATTTTTTGCATAGCTTTGCGATGTGCATAATTCCCTCCCAAAAAAAGAATTATTATGAAGTCATCAGAATAGTGAAGAAACTATTTATTTTCCTGCTTTTGAGAAGCTCTGTATAGTTGCTGGAAGATTGTATTCCCTCCGCCCTCTTTAAGCTCTTGACTTCAAGGTTCAGAAAGAGACTCGCTGTTCTGGCTCATCTAGACCAATGCATCCAAACTATTAGGCAGTAGTGCTGAGCGAAAATGCACCCCAACTCCACTTCCCAGCACCCCGCTTCTGCTGGTGCTATATTTCCTCAATACTACCTCCTCAGAAAATGCCCATGCAATAGTTATTTCCCGATCCTGCCCTCACTCAGTCAAATGGGAGGGACTGGCTTCATCAAACTTCCAACCCTTTCCCCCAAACCCAGTTTCGTACTTGAGAAGTTCTCGGAAGAAATATTTGCTTAGCTCTGCTTAAGAAAAATGCAGAATGCAGAGAGAGTCGTTTCCCAGGAAAAGCTTGCTTGCTGGAGCAGGAGGCAAGTCAGAAATGGGACTAGACTGTGGCCAAGAAGGACACCCTAACCTTTTGTGCAATCCAGGCAGAACAAAATCTGAAATAAGTAATGCACCTTTTCAGGTTGGCAGACAGGAAAGTCATATATCAGCTTGGAGGCATTCATACCAGGAAAAGGAGGCATCATTGCAGTTTTCCCTCCGTTTCTGCAGCCTAACACAGTAAAGCACATTCAGAAAGTGAGTGCATGCCAGTGGGGTGCAGTGATTCAAGTGTTGGACCATGACCTGGAAGACCAGGGTTCAAATCCCCACTCAGCCATTAAGCTCATTGGGTGATCTTGGGCCACACGCAGCCTCTTAACCTAACCTACCTCACAGGGTTGTTGCGAGAATAAAGTGGGAGAATGAGCTCTTTGGAGGAAAAGGTGGTATATAAAACGTCGCAAATAAAATTGTGGAAAGAGAAAACCAGAGACGTGGAATTATGGGCAGCTGCTGATAGGCTGATTAGATGGCAGTATTGAGCAACGTTTTGTCTGCACGGCTGTCCATATTAACATGGTTAGCCCATCCCAGCTGTTACCACCAGCATCATGAAGAAGACAACCTGAGCTTTCTATATAACAGGGTCTAAACCACCTCTGCCCCTCACATTGCAGAAAACGCCCTGCAAGCTGTTAGCACACAAGACAACCCAACAGCATAAATTAAAATTTGCGGGCAATTGTGGGGTAAGCCCATGGTACAAACTGGTCAGTGCATCTGGCTGTTAGCCAGAAGAAGAAGAAAAAGAAGAGTTTGGATTTGATATCCCGCCTTTCACTCCCCTTCAGGAGTCTCAAAGCGGCTAACAATCTCCTTTCCCTTCCTCCCCCACAACAAACACTCTGTGAGGTGAGTGGGGCTGAGAGACTTCAGAGAAGTGTGACTGGCCCAAGGTCACCCAGCAGCTGCATGTGGAGGAGCGGAGACGCGAACCCGGTTCCCCAGATTACGAGACTACCGCTCTTAACCACTACACCACACTGGCTCTCATACATGGTTAAGACTACCGCTCTCAACCACTACACCACATTGAAGGTTGGTGGTTCAAGCCTACCTGGGGACAGCTGTGGGCAGGATTCCTGCATTGCAGGGGGCTGGACTAGATGACCCTCGGGATCCCTTCCAGTGCTACAATTCTATCATTTCAATCCCAGGTACCTACATATAGGGCTGGGAAGGATTTGTTTCTGCAGCCTTCTGAAGAGCCTTGGAGAGCTGTTGCCAGCCAGGGTAGCCAATACTAAACCAGACATAAAAGTAAAAGTAAAAGGTTAAGTCCAGTCAAAGGTGACTATGGGTTTGCAGCGCTTTTCGGGCCGAGGGAGCCAGTGTTTGTCTGCAGACAGCTTTCCG